TATCTCTGGAGTGTAAACCCATGCAGTGATATTGGGATGCTGGGGTCCTGTCAAGTTGGCAGAATGGGCTAAATGTACAACCCAAACAGTGTCCAAAGATACTTTCTGTAAAATACCTTAATCTGTTCTTACTACAAAAGATGGCTCAACTAATATAACTATGGGGTTTGAATGCTTATACAAACATCATATTTCATTTTATTTCTTTTTTTTTATATCTACTATAAATACCTAGTTTTGACTTTTGAATATACTCCATAGAGTAGAAGGGATTGCAATAAAAATATTGGCTTGGCATTTGTTAGTCTGCATCATTTTTAATCAAGATAAAAATCTGATAATTTTCACTAAGTCTGAAGACTTTGCAAAGTATTTTATATCTTACCTTCCAGCTTTGTAAAATCCTTGTTTTACCTGTGAAGTAAATACAAATAAAGATTAGATTAACGCACAAAAAGTTGGACTCAGACACAGCTTTCAATTGAGTTAATATTTTCAAAACATTTTTACATTTTGATAATTTTTGATACATTGATATATTTTTTAGAGATTATATATTTATATATTGAAATATTTGGAAACAATTTATTTTAAAAAGATTATTAAAAATAAATAATAACTCTTTTGACAAGCTTATACAAAAATATAAAATTGAGGGAATTTGTCAGTAATTTCTGGCGATTTAGAATGAGCATCACATATTAATATGAGAATTTTTTTTTTTACTTGACCTGAGTATTTGAAACATTTTGCACTGACTAAACTCCCAAATAAATGTTTGTCCTCTGTAAACTAACTGCATCTATACAATGAAATGAAAACAAAGGAAGTAAATCAAATCAAAGAGGAAAACATTTTACTGAAGAGGAAACTATGGGGATACAAATAAATAGTGATGTCCCGAATGGTTCGCCGAACGGTTCGCCACGGATGGCGAACATATGCGCTGTTCGGTCCGCCCCCTATGTCATCATTGAGTAAACTTTGACCCTGTACCTCACAGTCAACAGACACATTCCAGCCAATCAGCAGCAGACCCTCCCTCCCAGACCCTCCCACCTCCTGGACAGCATCCATTTTACATTCGTTGTGAAGCTGCATTCTTAGTGAGCTGTCCAAGAGGTGGGAGGGTCTGGGAGGGAGGGTCTGCTGCTGATTGGCTGGAATGTGTCTGTTGACTGTGAGGTACAGGGTCAAAGTTTACTCAATGATGACATAGGGGGCAGACCGAACAGTGCATTTGTTCGCCATCCGCAGCGAACCGTTCGGCGAACCGTTCGGGACATCACTACAAATAAACAGACAATTCCAAATGATATGGATTATCACAGACAACATATACTGTGATAAAATTCCCTATAAACTATGTCAGTTCCATCAAACTCATCAAAACTAATTTTTTTTGCCTTCTTTTGGATCAACTGCTAAAAACAAACTTGATGGACACACATCTCTTTTCAGCCTATGTAACATACACTAGTTATCTATTAAAGTACATTTAAAAGTATTGTAAAAAGGGGGAAAAAATAAAAAAAATGCATCTTCTAATAAAATGTATATAACAACTTGTCTTATGTGTGTCTTCTCTGTGGGTTGCACGAATGTGTTTCAGCTGCTATGACATATCAAATTCCTTTTACTCTGCGCCCAAACAAATCAATCCTTACAGGATTTACCTGCGGAGTCAGATTAATCGATTAGTCCGATTGTAGAATTATATTCTTTCGTAGCGAATGAAATGCATTTGTTCTCAAGTCTAGTTGCAAGTACTGGGCTGTGCTTTAAATATTTACATTTTCTGACTAACCTGTCATCATGGTGACCAAGACTTTGGTAGACATGGCGCAAAATAAAATAAAATTTTCCATTTACCTTTTTCTTCAATAAAGTCCTTTATCTGTATTAACATTTTGCTCTGACTTGGTTTGACTACTTTCTCCATTGTGGTAAAGAGGAATAGATCTTTGGCCAGTCTCTCAATGCTCGGCTGGTTCTGTAGGATCCTGGTCTTCTGCTCTGAGCTGCCGGCATCCAGATCATCAATCACCACAATCACATTTTCCTTCCCTGCAACGCAAACACATACACTATATGGACCTTGGATAAGTCAGAACACTGTGAATGAAATATTTAAGTCAAAGACCTCCTGCTCTGGGCTATCAGGTATAAAGCATGCTGACAACCTCATGTGTCCACAATATTGTGAGCTGGGATTCTCCGAGACTGATAGCAAGCCAGGAGGGCTTTCATTTACATAACACTGGTTGATCTCTCACATCTCAATAATATTTACTGCCTTAAGGCATTTTCTACATTTTATTTATTATTAGTATTATTTATTAAGGTACTTTGGTTAATAATAGGTCAATTGTAAAACAATCTGTCTGTCTATCTATCTATCTATCTATCTATTTATAGCCAGTATAACCAGTGGTGGGGGCTTTATTCCAGTCTCATAGTATGAAATCCTATTTACTGGAGTCAGTATTTGTCATTTTACTTGGAATCTTTGAGATAAAATATGTAATTCTTACCGAATCTACGAGATAAATATTCCAGCTCTCTGTCATAAATGGAGTCTGTGACATCGGTGATATTAACCCTTCCTCTATTCTTCGTGTGATAGAGAACGATTACTGTGATACCTTTAATGTATTTAATTAAATTCATATTGGTACTGGAGATATAAACAGGCTGGACATGTCCCACGCATGGTATAGTCAACAGATTGGATATCAGCCATTCATATGAGCTCCGATCATCTCGTGAGACGATTAGAACGCAAACTTTACTGGAAAAGAAATGTGAAGAATGAAAGGAAACAAAAAGGCATGGAATGTGTTTAAATATATGTCTGTGTCCATAAATACAAAGTAAAGCAATGAACAAGCCATCAGTTGGCGTCTCTGAGATTTATTGGCTTTGATCGTGTGAAGGATCAACACCATGGTGGAACACAAGGCCAAATGACTCATTCAACATGAAGAATTCTGGATTCATACACTGGATATACATATATATTCCAAAATGCTTTAGACTTGAGTAAGGGAGGATCTCATGAAAACTTGTTTTTCCAAAATTCTTCTAGACCAATAAAAAGGTACCAGATACTAATTTCTTCTGATATATATATATATATATATATATATTAGTATATCATTTTAATATATCTGTGTTTGTGTTTATGTGTACCTTTTTATTAGGGTGAATATTAATGACTATGCTTATTGTTGTATTTGCTTATATAGTAACGTGTATTTTTATTTCAATATTTAATTAGTTTAGTCTATCTATTATTATTATTATTTATATAGCGCCACCAAATTCTGCAGCGCTTTACAATGGGGGGACGAACAACCATGTAGTTGTAACCAGACAAGTTGGACAACCAGGAACAGAGGGGTTGAGGGCCCTGCTCAATGAGCTTACATGCTCTAGGGGGTTGGGGTAAAATGACACAAAAAGGTAAGGATAGTATTAGACTAGTGACAGTTGCAGAAGAGGAATCAGTCAGGAGCTATTAACAGTTTAATTGATACGCTTTTATGAAGAAGTGGGTTTTTAATGATTTTTTGAAGGAGTGGAGACTGGGTGAGCATCTAACGGAGGAAGGAAGTGAGTTCCACAGGAACGGTGCAGCCCTTGAGAAATCTTGAAGGCGAGCATCAGAGGTGGGAGTACAGACAGAAGATAGACGTAAGTCTTCAGCAGATCGTAAGGGCCTAGACGGGACATACTTGTGTATAGGGGAGGATAGATAGGTTGGAGCAGCATTATGTAGCAATCGGAAAGCAAGAACCAGAATTTTAAATTGAGCCCTATATCTTACAGGAAGTCAATGTAGGGACTGACTGAAGGGTGAGGCGTGGAAGGTGCGGGAGGACAGTAAGATAAGCCTCGCCGCCACATTCATTATGGACTGTAACACCACAAATTGTGAGCAAGTAAGACCATGGAGAAGCGGATTACAGTAGTCAAGGCGAGAAAGGACAGTGGAATGGGCCAGCACCTTAGTCGCATCTGGCGTTAAGTAGGGGAATTTTAGTGAGAGCTAGAGAAAGAGAAGAAGACAGAGTATGGATGAGATGCAATGGAATTGGATCTAGGGAGCAGGTGGTGGGGCGGGAGGACTGGAGCAGAGCAGAAACCTCTTCCGCGGTAGCGGGTAAGAATGAAAATAGAACTGCAGAGGGAGTGAGGTTAGTGAAAGTATTTTAAGGGGAAGAAGAAAGATAAGAGATCTCTTCCCTGATTGTAAAGCTCTTGTCTATCTATCTATACAGTATCTATCTATCTATCTATCTATTCAGTATCTATCGATCGATCGATCTATCTATCCATTATCTATCTATCTATCTGTTCAGCATCTATCTACCGATCTATCTATCTATACACTATTTATCTATCTATACAGTATCTATCTATACAGTATCTATCTGTCTGTCTGTCTGTCTGTCTATCTGTCTGTCTGTCTGTCTGCCTGTCTATCCATCTATCTCTGTGCACGTGTGTTGTGTATAATATCATATCACTATAAAATGTAATATGGTATATAATATGTTCTTACCTTGATCTGCAGGGAAGGATTCCTTGCATTGTCGCTGTGTTATCCTGATCCACCTTTCACCTATGACTGTGACCAATGGGACTTTGCTTCTAAGACTCAGTAGTTTCCTCAGCTTCAGTCTTTGGATCTCTAAGATAAGTTATTCATATTAATTCTACTCCCTTATAGAGATGAGACCAGCAGAAGAATAAAACAATGCATTTACTAGATGGGCATCACATCACTCTTTAGAATGATGCTGCTTTGGTTAATCAATACTAATCAGGATTTTTAGACTAATCAGTCAGCTTTGGAATACCCCATACAGTTGTCCTTGACCACACATAGAGAAAGGAGATTGCAGTAAATGGAATTCTCCCTCACCCCAGTTTAATCCATTACCATATTCCTCTGCTTCAGCTCTTCAGATTGAATTTACATTCTCTCCTAAACGTGTGGAAGTGGGAGTGCTAAGGGTTCTTCAACTACAGGAGAAAAGAAAAGATAGCTGGACAGCAATCTCTGTATACCTACTAACAGATATGAAAATATTATCACTGACTCACAAACAATATGGTTCTAATCGTCAATCTGGGTCTGAGATTAGGGACAGTACAGACAGTAACGCTAATACTTTTCTTACCGCTGACTGGTTTCCAGAAAATAAAATGCTAGATGTTGTTCCCATTCTAGATGTTGTTCCCATTCTTATGTTTCCTGTAGTGTTTGGTTTACCCAGGTTTAAAAAATATTGTCCAACCATTGATTGCCCACCCGTATTGCACATACATTAATTCCCCACCCATGTTGTCCACCCATTGATTGCCCACTCATGTTGTCCATTCATTGATTACCTACCTATATTGTATCTTCATTCATTGCCCACCCATATTATCCATTCATTTATTATTCACCCATATTGTCCATTAATTTATTGCCCACCCATATTGTTCATTAATTTATTGCCCACCCATATTGTTCATTCACTTATTGCCCACCCACATTGTTCATTAATTTATTATTCACCTTTATTGTCCATACACTTATTGCCCACCCATTTTGTCTATTCATTTATTATTCACCTTTATTGTCCATTAATTTAGTATTCACCTATATTGTCCATCCATTGATTGCCCACCCATATTGTCCATTCATTGATTGCCCACCCATATTGTCCATTCATTGATTAACTACCTACCCATATTGTCCATTAATTTATTATTCACCCATATTGTTAATTTATTCATTGCCCACCCATATTGTCCATTGTTCTGTGATAAAACATGTGGCGGAACAGACCTCGCCACGTGCTCTTGGAGGGGGCTGCTTGCCCGCCTCCTACCTTCAGACTATGGCCCTGGGATATATGGCATTTGAAAACACTATTTGTGCCCTGTGACAAAACTGGAGATTGTGCACAAATATGACTATTGTCCATATTTTTTATGATTCCCTTCGTTTGTTGCACTGTTCCCCATGTGTTTCATCTGTTGGTCCGGCTGGATAGACTACCAGACAAACTGTGGAGTTACTGGGTGGCCCCCATTTCATATATCAGAGGCACATGGTGAGAACAATGGATAAAGCACATGGTGAGAACAATGAATGGCGTCCATTTTAACTCACAGACACTGTTTGGACTTTTCTAGACAGTGCCATCTCGACGGTATTTGGTGCACAAAGACATCATGCAGTAGTTTTAAACTACAGAACAGGGGACACATTATACAGTAATTCTTTTTCAAATAGCCTGTATTTGTTCTGCGGAATCTGCATTAAACTGTTTTTATGGGGTTATTGCTATGTGATATGTTTTATAATACTGTATTTCTCTACCTGTGATAATTATATTAACCATTGTGTTCAGTAATCATATCACAGGCAGAGGGGAGGATTTTGTGTGGGAGTGTCTGTGTGTATTGTACGGATTGATTGGCAGTGTTTCAAAACCCTGTGGGCGGTACTATGTTTGTGGATTGTGAATAAAAGAGGCTGTATGTGCCAGTACAGTGAGTTCTGCTTGACCTCAAAACTAAGTGTTGTCTCATTATTGGGGGAATTGGATTGTATGCTGATTGCCAGGAGTGTAAGCTGATTGTATGCTTTTCCTGTTCAGCTGTTTACAGCATTCATATGCTTGAGATCATTCATGCTTCTCCGGTTCAGGGGTTGTGGTGTCTGCTGCAGTGCTTGGAGTCTTCAGGAAGCGCTAGGAGCATCCTTCAACGGAGGTACCCAGTCGGGGTGCCAGGTGATCCGTTACAAAACAATATTTAATTAGTTAAGATTTTAGTTCCACACCAGACTCTGTAGAATAATGTATAGCTAAATTATTGCCAAGAAAGACTGCTCCTGAAAGCCAAAAAAAGAGGTTTAAGGTTTGTTTTGTTTTTTAAAATGAATTTACTTATAACTTAATGAAAATAAAGCACTGCTGTGCCAGGTATGGCCACCGTGAGACTCAAATCTGGTCTATCAGAGCCCTACAAAACCAACCAATCAGAATCAGTCACATTTTGGAGCATCGAAAGGCATTTCTCACATTGAAATGACAACTGGCACTAGGCCATCAAAGGGCAACGATTAATTCCTTTTATTGTAGTGCGTTTTTTGTGGGGTTTTTTAATAGTTTTTTAGGTTTGGTCTTTTATTTTAAATATAATTGTGTTGGTTTTTAATATTGGTTTGTTATTATTTGGTCTCTTAAAGGGCTGACCTAAAGGAGATTTTAGAAGAATTCCTAATTCTTGTGTAACCAGTATTAGATTTATTGCCCACTTTCACTGTTATTAGGGCAGGTAGGACCTCCTACACCTAGTGGGATAGGACGCTCATTTGTGGGGGTAGATAGTGGTATGTCTAACCCTCCACCTGAAGCTCGTGGTTGGGGATGGTGGCATGTCCCACTTACTGAGCCCCCATGCTATTTAACCTATTTTATATTGCCTATCACTCATGTGTGGGGGCTAGTGGGGATGTTTAGTGTGCCCCTAGTTAAACTTCAGGGCATCCAAAAAATGCTCATGTGTGCATTTGAAGGGGTGCACGGGATGCCCCCTGCGTATATATTAGAGCCCCACCTGGTGCCCATAAATTGGGTATTGGGGACACAGACATGGCCCTATGTATGTAATAAAGCCCCCATCTGCTGCCCATATATATATACTTCCCAATTAAACCAGATGCCACATGGTAGCCCTTGTGATGCCTAGTCTTTTTAAGCTATTTGCCACTTTTCTTAAAGTTATCATTTGCTGGCAAAGAGAATGTGATTAATATAACCCTCGCATATACCTCCCAGGTGTCCCAATGTATAGAATTATGTAATTACCATATACCCTCTATGTAACATATAACCCTCACACATACCTCTCTAATGTCCCAATTTATAGAATTATATAGTAATTACCATATATCCTTTATATAACCAATAACTCTCTCACACATCTCCCAAGTGAGGGTCCGTTGCTATTTGGGGAGGGTCCGTTGCTATTTGGGGGCCAAATCCCTATCTTTTCTCTCCTAATGCCCCTCTTTTCTAGGAACTCCATATTGTTGGTGTGTCTGAGTGTATAACGGAGCTCCACAGCAATAATACTCCCAGTAATGTGTCTGAGTGTATAACAGAGCTCCACAGCAATAATACTCCCAGTAATGTGTCTGACTGTATAACAGAGCTCCACAGCAATAATACTCACAGTAATGTGTCTGAGTGTATAACAGAGCTCCACAGCAATAATACTCCCAGTAATGTGTCTGACTGTATAACAGAGCTCCACAGCAATAATACTCCCAGTAATGTGTCTGGGTGTATAACAGAGCCCCACAGCAATAATACTCCCAGTAATGTGTCTGAGTGTATAACAGAGCCCCACAGCAATAATACTCCCAGTAATGTGTCTGAGTGTATAACAGAGTTCCACAGCAATAATACTCCAGTAATGTGACTGAGTGTATAACAGAGCTCCACAGCAATAATACTCCCAGTAATGTGTCTGAGTGTATAACAGAGCTCCACAGCAATAATACTCCCAGTAATGTGTCTGAGTGTATAACAAAGCTCCACAGCAATAATACTCCCAGTAATGTGTCTGAGTGCATAACAGAGCTCCACAGCAATAATACTCCCAGTAATGTGTCTGACTGTATAACAGAGCTCCACAGCAATAATACTCCCAGTAATGTGTCTGAGTGTATAACGGAACCCCACAGCAATAATACTCCCAGTAATGTGTCTGAGTGTATAACAGAGCTCCACAGCAATAATACTCCCAGTAATGTGTCTGAGTGTATAACAGAGCTCCACAGCAATAATACTCCCAGTAATGTCTGATTGTATTACAGAGCTCCACAGCAATAATACTCCCAGTAATGTGTCTGAGTGTATAACAGAGCCCCACAGCAATAATACTCCCAGTAATGTTTCTGAGTGTATAACAGAGCTCCACAGTAATAATACTCCCAGTAATGGGTCTTTAAACTACAATAAATGTGTTCAGAAATCAGTCTGTAAATAAGATACATTGTTCTTGTTCTAAATCACATTTTAGTTAAATAAATTTTTGTTAGTAAATCAGAACAGCCCTGCCCCTTGCCACACCCCACTCACACCCCTTAAATTAAAGTGTACCTCTTTTATCATGTGAGATGTTGGGAGGTGTGTCATGGTCTATGAAGTAAGGATGAAGTTTCGTGTTATGTATTGTCTGCATTGTACAATATGTATCATTCCCACATGTACTATACGTACCTGGATCAGATCCAGACTCTGGGTTAGAGCTCCCAGCTCCAGTGATTTGGGCTATTTCTGCATGTGTGGGCCTCTGGGAGAATGAGAAAGTCCTGCAGGATAGTGTGAGCTGAACGTAGAGTCAAAATGAAAGTGAAAGTAGAAACTATAGAGAAATGATCAGGAACCAGCCATGTTCTGAACACCCCCCTCCCTGCACTTCCAGTAAACGGCTGCAATTTCTATAAACACATCAAGGGTAGTTTAAGGGCTTCCGTTTCCTGGGGGACAATGGGTTAATTATAGTTACAGTTCAAAGTGCCAGCACGGCCGGAGCTGAATTCACTTTTGGTTTTATTATTAACCCCTTCAGGACGAGTTATTGCACTTTGCAGTCAAGACATCATCGTACTCCGGTGTGCAATGTATAGACAGCATAAACCATCACTGGTCGTTAAGGGTTAAAGTAAATATATTGCTAAGAATTAAACCAAAAAGAAAGATTAGCAAGAGATCCAACAACACTCCTATTGGGGGTTAACCCTGAAACTTAGAACCTAGAAAACAGACAAAGGCTGGCGTGTCTGCCAGAGGTAAGTGGGATTACCACACTTACCTATTAAAAGGTAACTTTAATTATTTCATTGATTAAAAAAAGACCACAAAGACCCCAAGTAACACAATTTACAAAAGAGACAAACAAAATCTCAATATAGTGAAATATCGCCTAAATGGAGACTTCCTAATGGTGCATTAGTAGTATACAACCGTTATGGAACTGCCTCCTACGCGTACATTTACTAAATACAAATTGCAAGAAAAAGAATTTCACCAATGTTAGCGTGTAGCCAAATGCTACTATCTGGAGAGATCACATGAGGTGCTATCGCTAAACACGGAGCAGTAGAAAATGTAAAAAAAGGGCGGAATAGTACATTCCTGCAATTGCTGACTTGCAGCTAACATGTCTGGGTAATGCAAATAATATTACCGACTCCTACCGAAAAGGACGCAATGAAACTACTGTTGTATACTACCAATATACCATTAGGAGCTTTTATTAATATTACACTATATCGCAATTCTAGATTAATTCTTGTCTTTTGTAATTTGTGCTACTTGGGATCCTTGTGATCGTTTATCAATGAAATAATAAAACGTAAATTTTAATCTGTAATTGGTGTATTCCCACTTACCTATTGCTATGAATGGTACTAGTTAATAATACTTAGTGGATAATTTATAATTGTAGATTATGCTAGCTTTAGTGTACCTATAATCTTAATTTTATTAATGACAGGAGGCGAATATTTGCTTAAGTCTCTCTTTACTAGAACTCCACAGCAGCAAAACACCAGAGAGTAAACAACCAATCAGAAAACAGTAAGGAGACCATATAAGTCCCTTCCCAACATTCAATTTCCTCTTTCAAGCTGCGACAACAAAGCACAGTCGAGGAAAAGTAACATAATATAACAATAAAAAGTCCATCTCTTGATAGAAACAACGACTCTCCAAGTAATCTTCAACCGAGATGAAACTTGGATGTGAGTCCATCCTGGGACCTTTAAACTGAAACAAAATAAACAGAATCGAAAATCATGATTAGTCAATGAAAGGTATGTATAAAAACATGCAGCCACCCAGAGCAAAATTATAGTGAACACCGCCAAGTGAACAGATCCCGGCCCAGGCAGAAAAATGGAAACGTATAAAGGAAATAACCACAACGAACACTGATCAGAAATATAATTCTTTAATATTAAGTCTGACAGATAATACAACACACAAGGGTCGGGAAAAACAAAGGGTGGGAAATATTCGCCTCCTGTCATTAATAAAATTAAGATTATAGGTACACTAAAGCTAGCATAATCTACAATTTTATAACATGACAGGAGGCTTCATATTTGCAGTTTCAACGCTCAGCCAGTAGGGCAAAGGCTGCATGTTCTGTAGGCCTGAAATGTGTCTTCTCGAGACCAATCCGCTGAACGTAGAATATCGGCCAGGGAAGCACCTGCTACCAGGGCTCCTGATGCCGCCGCACCCCTTACCGAATAAGCGCCAAAAGAGGAATCCACGCCAGCCAACGACAAGAGCCATCTGATCCAATGAGCCAGGGAAATGGTAGACACCGGTTTATGCGGTCGTACGTAAGATATCAACAGTTGTCTTGACAGGGAACTTCGAAGTGGGGTAGTAACAGCCACATAACGAGACAGAGCAGAAACCACACAGAGCTTCGGAGCCTCTCGAAAAAAGGGGTAGAAAATGGCAGAGGAGTCGGATTTGGTACGTCTCGACACCGCAAAGGTCACTCCATCCGGAGAAAAGGTGAATGCGTTAACATCAAAAGTCCGAACGTCGGAGACCCGACGAAACGATACCAGACACAAGAGAAGCGTGAACTTGGCCGATAACTGTCATAGAGAAAGGTCCTGATTCTCCGGCCACGCCTGAATGAAGTCCAAAACTCGGTGCACATCCCAGAGCAATGTATACTTAGGAGTCGGTGGACCTGACAGTCTGATTCCTCGCAACAGTCTACAAACCAAAGGATCTTGACCAATGGGCGTCCCCTGAAGAGGAACATGAGCCGCTGAAATGGCCGATCTGGCAACGTTAACCGAGCGGTATGACCTCCCTTGGTCGAAGAGGTAGGAAAGGAAATTCAGTACACTGGATACAGGTGCCGTAAAGGGATCGATACTCCGTTCCATGCACCAACGACACCATGTGTGCCATGCGGACAGATAACATCTCCTCGTTCCCGGGGCCCATGAGTCCCAGAGGAGGCTTCTAGCCATTCCCGATAACTCATCGACATTCCAGGTACCCCTGAAAGAGTCCAAGCCACCAAGTGAAGATGGCCCTCCAGCACGAGGGGATGATGGTTGCCTCGAGAATCCGACAGGAGAAATTGCGGAGACGGGAGAAGGAGCAGGTCTCGATATGACAGCTCTAGCAGTTCTGGGAACCAAGAACTTGCTAAAGAGGCGTCAGTAACACCAGCGATGTTGGAGAAGGATTCTGGAGATCATAGTGAACGGTGGAAATGCATAGACTCCCTGTGCCGGCCAGTCCTGAAGAAAAGCATCCACTGCCGCGCACATCGGATCCGGGAGCCAGCTGAAGTAATTCAAGATCTGGAAGTTCGTCCTGGAAGCGAACAGATCCACTGTAAATGGGCCCCTCCGTCGTGCCACTTCGAGAAATACTGGTCGATGAAGACGCCAATCGCTGGCATCCCTCCAGTGCCTGGAAAACCAGTCTGCCGTCAGGTTCGATACACCTGGAAGATATTCCGCTTGTAGAGTGATATTGCGCTGAAGGCAGAAATTGTAAATCTCCTTCGTCACTTCCATCAGTGCCTGTGAGCGTGCTCCTCCCAGGCGGTTGATATACTGTACTGCTGTCCATTCTCAGCAGGATGCAGCAATCCGACAGATGACCCGCCAGGCTCCGTATCGCGAATGAGCCCGCAATCATTTCCAGACAGTTGATATGGTAACCTGTTTCCGTGCTCGACCAGGGACCTCCCGTGGAGGCAGTCGCGCAGGTCACTCCCCAGCCCCATAGGCTTGCATCTGATTCCAGGACAAAGTCCGGGGTCAGCCGGAAAATCGCCTTGCTGTTCCAGGCTGACATATGTAACAGCCACCAACGAAGTTCTGTCTTGACTTCCTGTGTGATAGTGATCAGCTGGTCATATGAGGGTTTCCTGCAGAGGAAACGCGCCTTCAGGCCCCAAGTTAACAGAACTTCCCCAAATCCGGAAATCTCCCACGACTGTACACTTACGACTTAGTATAAACAACAGATAACCTATTCAGACTTTAAGATGCCATCTTGAACTAAGTCAGGAAAAATTCCATGACGTATACACCCTTTAGTTATGGCCTTGTATGTTTGCCAAATTAAGGGAGGTCCTAAAATGAATAAAGTAAATGAACTACGGTAACACTAAAATGGAGACACCTAAGGTATAAATAGGTGTACTTTTAAATGTTAAGAAACAGAGGAGAGACTTGGAGACAGACGCTGCTCCATCTTAAAATGACAGAGAGGCTGACATGATGACATGTTCAGAAGGGTATGTTAACCTATTAATGATATTTGCAAGCATGTAATTTAATCTTATAAACTCTGCTATAATGGATTTTATATTTATATTTTATATAATAAATATCCAAAAAGACAAAACTATTGCTTCCAAGACAATCCTTATTTTATATTGTATTCTCAATTATTTATATATGTTAAATAGAGGATCTCTTACACTATATAAAATTATGGCTAAGATATCTGTATAGTTAGCCCTACTAAGTTCTATGCTTTAAGACATTATAGTGGTAAATAAGGGAACCAGCCACGGTTAAATGATGGCCAGAAACGGCTGGAGGCACGACCCCTCTGCCCTCCAGCCCTGCCAAAAACACGAGAGGTGTTAGTGCGGACACCCTCCTCATCGAAGATTGGGATTTATTCAGGGTGGCATAGAGGTTGACGTACCTTTGGAGCTCCTTGATGAAGGGTTCCCCAAAAAGTAGCCCTTTGGCTAACGGTCCCAGTTCCTTGGAACCCAACTCCGATAATTTGGCGTCCATGCGCATAAGGACCGCCCTCCTCCGCTCCGTGCAGAAAGCTACGTTAGAGTTGCCCAGCAGGCAAACGGAGCATAGCGCCCAATCTCTTATGGCTGCAGCGTCCAGGGGGGAGCCCTGGGAAACAGCCTCGTCCACCAAGGTAAGGATCCGTGTCAGCGGTCCTAAGATGTCAAGCACCTTATCTTGTGCCAGGCGGAGATTGCGCTCGATCCCCTTCTTGGGATCGCGCCCGGTACGGGTCAAATAGGTGGAGACCATCGTGTCGAACTCGGGCGTCAGAGCGACCTTATCCGGCAATGTGGGTCTAGGGCACTCAGCCCTGAGCCTCTTCCGCACTGCCCAGTCGAGGGGTCTGCAAACCCAATAATGCACGAACTGGGCCAGGTGGTCAGGTACTCAGGAGACCTGGGGTGCCGGATGGTGCGTTGGTCAAATAAAGGCTCGCCTGATGAGTCCAGGAAGACGTCCTCCCCCAGGGAGGGGTGTAGATGTAGCGAGGTATCTTCATCAGCGTCCTGCCGGTACGCCGATTCCTCCGGATCCTCCTCACCCCAACCCCCTTCGTCCTATGAGGGGGATTGGTCTGCCCGCCATTCGTCCAGGACGGACAGGGGTGCGGGCAGGGTGAACTCTTCCTCCTCTTCAGGGAGGTATCGTGGGTGTGTAGGAGGTGAGGCGGTCACTCGCTTAGGCCTTTTTGCAGGGGCCTTACCCTTCCGGAAACTCGGCTCCGGGCCTTCACCCTTCCAGTAGCGTTTGGGGGGGGGTGTGCCTGTTCTCTGTCCGGAGAGTCGGGCTCGGATTCTATCAGCGCGCGCTGAGCCTCCGATACATC